ATTCAAGTCAGCCTTTATTCTAAATTAGAGGAAGGAGGACAATTCAGGAACGATCGGCGCAAGAACTAAAATAACGGTTTTCAACACGAGAGTAAAAAATGTACTGCTCTATGAATCGCAAACATGGAAACTTGCAATACAAACTTTTATAAAGCTACAAGCATTTGTCAACAGCTGCTTAAAAGTATCTTTAAAATTCAATGACGGACACCATAGGAAGTTAACAACTATGGGAGCAGACAAATCAACAGTCAATAGATTTAGAAATCAGCAAGAGAGAATGGAAGGGGATTAGACAGACCTTAAGAAAATCGAATACAAGTGTCACGCATAAAGTTTTAATTTGGAATCTTCAGGGAAAAAGAAAGAGGGGAGGGCCTTCTTGCAGGAGGGACTTAGATTCGGACCTAAAGCAGATGGGATGCAGATGGACGCACAGAGGTGGAGACTATAGCCCAAGATAAAAGTTCAGAGGTAGAGACTATAGCCCAGGATAAAAGTAATTCGAGCGCTCCTGTTTGTTGCCTGTACCATGGCAAGTGGTGAGAAAGGGTGATTACGATGTAAAAAGACAATAGGTTAACAATGAGGATAAATTTTTAAAAAGGAATCCACTAACCTTTGCTGTACCCTCAGCATCGTAGATATGGGCAGCATAAGGCGAGCATTTCTGGCAGAGAAGTTGCTTGACGTAACCATTGCATTTGTCCCAGTCGGAGTCTGTTGCTCTTGACTTTATGTAATCGTACTCTTTGGCCAGGTCCTCGTCATTGTGGGGTCTGTTAGGATGGCGCAGAATCGAATTGAATTCAAAGAAAATAGTGAGGAAAGAAAAAGAACAGAACAGAAAAGAGGGTCAGAAAGGGGGTGGGGTGGGGTGGGGGAGGGTGTTACCACTTCTGCTTATCCCCACGTGTACAGAATTTTTTAAAAAAATAGATTTCAAAGCATTTGACCCTCATATCAAGATATTTCAAAGGACATTTCAAACATAGGATTGACACAGTTACATTTCATAAAGTCGTAGAATAACATCTCACATGCAGCTGTAGCCAAAATGACACTTTTAGGTAACAAAAGAATAATAAATAATAATAAAATAATAATAATAATAATAATAATAATAATAATAATAATAATAATAATAATAATAATAATAATAATAATAATAATAATAATAATAATAATTATGTATCAGTGAATCAGCTTTCAATTCCTGTACACAAAAAAACAAAAATATGAACGTCAAATAATCACGGTAAGGTACTACCGTTCAACGATCCTTCAACAGGAGAATTCATCATGTTCTTTCACTGTGCTTTGCTTTATAGAAAGATGATATTAATGGGGTTTTTTCTTCATAGCATCTCAGTTTCACTAACATTTTGGCTGGATTTCAGCGAGTATTTGCCTTTTACAAAATCCATGCCAAAACAATAATAATTCTTCCCATATTTAGCACCTACTCTTCCCAACCGTGTTGTATGGTGCCGAGACCTGGACAGCATACCAGGGCCATGCTAAAAAGCTTAATCATTTCCATATGAAGTGTCTCAGGAGAATTTTTGGCATCGAATGGCAGGTTAAAGTACCAAACACCAAAGTTCTCAAAAAGGGCAAAAGCTGAGAGTCCGTTTACTAAGCTCAAAAGGAGTCAAGGTCACTAGGCTGGCCATATCGTAAGAATGCCTAATTTCAGAATTCCAAAGGCAGTATTTTATTCTGAACTGTACTCGGGGAAACGTAAGACTGGCGCACCAAAAAGGGTTACAAGGACACCCTGAAAATGCGCCTGATGGACTGCAGCGTAAAAGCTTCGACATGGGAGAGCCGAGATCCTGACAGACTCAGTTGGAGAGCAGCAGTCATAGTGGGCAGCAAGTCATATGAGGCCTCACGAACAAGAAATGTGGAAAACAAGAAAGAAGTTGGCAATCTGCGTACATCCACAAGGGGAAGGGCTGCTTTTGATTGCTCAAAGTATGGCAAACGTTTTTTCTGCCAGAATTGGTCTCATTGGCCACAGCAGTAAAGACTTAGATTAAGAAATTTGGGGATTTCATCAAATTGGTTGCTTTTGTGTCTTTACATTGATTTCTCACTCACGACACTCGGCCCATATGTAAAATGTTTCTAAGTGCCAATAGATTGTTTGATCCAAAATAAAAATGCTTCAGTACGTCTAAGGACGTAAAACGTAATCTTTAATGTAGTCCATGTAACAATCGTTATACCACAAGGGGGTAAACTAGAACGACGACCTGCAGGTTTACAGTCCAACTGTTGAAAATACTGCTGATTTGACACTGTCTTGGGGGCTGGTTAGCAGGCGCTCTGGTGTGGTTTGCTCCTACTTTTCTATCAAACATCTATTCTCATTATCTATCCTCCTTTTTATCTATGCATGTTACTCTCTGGTAACCCCTCTAATCATCGGTACTTATTTAGACCTTATTGTGTTGCAAGACCATAAAACTCTTACTAAATCTCTTTTTAAAACACAAATTTTTACCTAGGAACAACGTAACCCAAAGTCCTGTGTCAGGGGGAAGAAGAAGGAAGGGCGACAAAAGAACGAAGGCAGAGACGGCGCACCAAACAAGAATCACGGTGACTCATATGCAAGATAGAGCAGATACCGGTACCTATAATATATTTCCTTGTAATGGCAACAGAGCTTGCATCTCCTATAGGTACCCAGCTATCAGTTACCCATACTCCCAACCCGGGGAAAGTGAGAGGGGGGGGG